CTCGGGCCCTCCCCTGCAGCTGGGGCTCCTACCCAGGGAACAGGAGAAGCCAGGGCTTGGGGATGGGTGATAAAACAACTCCCTGGGAGAGAAAGAGATGGCAGAGGCTCTTGGGGGTCAGGCAGCTGCCCCTGCTGCTGCCCCACGCCAGGCATCCTCCCATCCCCGCTCCCCATCACCCCTCGCTACCCCAGCCGGGCGTGGGCAGGGGCACCCTGCTCCCCCGCGGGGCTCTGCCGGCAGCCGGGCAGGACCAGGCAGCACAGAGCCCACACGCCAGGCATCCTCCCATCCCCGCTCCCCATCCCCCCTCGCTACCCCAGCCGGGCGTGGGCAGGGGCACCCTGCTCCCCCGCGGGGCTCTGCCGGCAGCCGGGCAGGACCAGGCAGCAAAGAGCCGAGCGCTGGCGCTCACTGGGGGAACCCGGGGCTGGGTGCCCCCGGGGAGGCTGAGATTACTGTGGGCTCCCCCAGGCTCAGCCCCTGCCAGCTGTCGGCCGGGTCTCTCCTCCCAAGCTCTCCATCCCACAGCCACGTGGAGCTCAAGTCCTGCCAGGCGCTGAGCCCGGCTGCTCCCACATGGGACTCATGCACACACGGCCGAGCCGAGGCCACCAACGCGAGCAGCAGCAGCATCCCAGGAGCAGCAATCGCCTCGCCCACAGCACCCCGGGAGGATGCAAAGTTGTCCAGGCAGGGGAAGGGACAGGGCTGCTCCACATTGTCAAATCCCAGCTCCCAGCGAGCCACTGGCTTCTGTGCACCATGGGCTGGGGTCAGGCTTTGCCGGAGGAGCTGTGGTTCACACATGGCATTGAGAATGAGACAAGCCAGGATGGGGACAGGGCCATTGCCCCTGTCCTGGAGGTGCTGCTGTCCTGCCTGCGCCTGCCCCGGGGCATCACGCAGCAATGAGCGGCTGGCAGCACGGGCAGGACCGCAGTCCTCCTCACTGCTGCAGAGGGGGCAACCAGTGAGCAGTGCGACGGGAGGGAAAAGGTCCCCCCCAAGCCCTTCCCCTGCCACGGGCACCAGCCCAAGGCTGGTACACACCTCGCCGGGGGCAGAGCTGCTGTTCTCGCCTCGAGTGGCGGCTGGAGAGTGGGGACTGAGCGGGTGCTTGCCCCGATGGCAGCACTGCACAAGGGAACCTTCCCATCTCCTTCACGGCTGCAGCCTCCGGCAGTGGCTTGCAATCCCGCCACACAGGCAGCTCACAAGCAAGGTTTAAGCTAAGGAGAAAGCAAAACTCACGTCTGGAGCTGCCTGCTCCGGCACCCAGTTAGTCCTGACAGCAAAACCAGCAGCCCCTCAGCAGCAGCACAGGGGCAGAAGCATCTCAGGCACCCACCACCACCCTGCCAACGCAAGAGCAACGTTTGCTCGGCAGGACACAGCCCGGGGCTCCTGAGCAGACACCGGGCTCTCCCGCTCCAGCCCTCGCAGCTCAGGCTTGTGGCTCTGTGCTGGAGAGCCTCCCTCTTCCCGAGATCAGAAGCAGGACATGGAATGCGATGAGAACCAAGCCGGATCGCGCAGGAGCAGGGACACAGCTCCAGCCAGCAGCGCCCATGCAGCCGTGTACGTGCAGAGGTTGGAGCATCACCAGCATCCACAGCTCTCTGAGACCACCGCACCTGCGCCACCCGCTCCCGGCACGGCCACCGCTCCCGTGGCGAGTGGGAGCTCCCCCAGTTCGGCCCCCGCAGGGCACGCTGGCAGGAACGACTGGCGAGACCTCGTGCCTTGGGCAGCGGGGACTCTGCCCACCGACTGTCATCACCAACGTACAGTTTGGAATTGCCTCTCCCCTCCTCCAGCCGCCAGGCACCTGGAGGCCACCAGTGGCACTTGAGGCACGTGCCGCCACTGCTCCGCCAGCCCTGGGCTCAGCACCCTCCCGGCAAGCCCCGGGTGGAAGGGGCACGTCCACTCAGCAGGCAGGGGAGCAGGAGCCCACGCGCCGCAGCCCTGCCCTGCAGCCCCCTCGGACCCCTTGGTGCAATGGAAGCTGGGATAAAATTCCCCAAGGAGAGCAGGAGCGCCTGTCGGGAAGCAGGCCAGCCTTCCCGGGGTGCTTGCAATCTTACACGCTCCGTGAGAGTCAGGGTTGGTGCCCAGGCGCGAAGCCTTGGGACAAGGCAAGGAAGCAAAGCTCCGAGAGCGGGCACTGCGGTGCTGGGGAGCCACAGGAGCGGTTCTCCAAAGGAGGCGCGGGTGAAGGGGGAGCATCCCAAGGTTTGGCATCATTACACGAGAAAATTCATTTGTGGGCAAAGGGAAACAAGCCCAAAACAGCCCCCTCGCAGGAAGGATTTGTCCTATTGAAGGGCAATAGCTGCTGTGCACCAGCATTTCAGATGCCTTGGTCCAAAAACCCACCCCCCAGCAAGCAGCGCGGTGCTCCAGCTCTCTGCAGAGCGCAGAAGCAAACCAACCACCACCAAGGCTTCCTCAGGCTGGGTTTGGTTTTTCTTTTTTTTTTTTTAACTCCCCATTCAGGAACTTAAGCCAGAGCCCACATTGGCTGCAGCTGGAAAACAGCCTGTCCTGGGAATATCTGGCAAAGCATCAAGCACGCCGGTTCCCTAGCTACGCGGTTGTCACAACTTGGGCAGCACACTTTAACCTTTATGCTTTTCACGGGTAAGGGAGGCTCTCTGCCCAGCCAAGCCCTGCCCGTTCTCCAGGAAACCCTATCCCCCGTCTAAATCAAGCGGCAGGGCAGGCGAGAACAACATCCCCACCTGAATCCCAGTCGTGCCACTGTAACACAAGCCAGCCAGCCTGTCTGTCCCGGTGGGGACCAACCCAGGCATGCAGTCAGCAGCTTAACCACCTCCATCAGCGCCCAGGACTTCCCCGGACCAGCTGCCATCGTGTCGTGACAGGTCCCATCAAGGTGACAGGGAAAGACAAGGGAAAAAATCCCAACATCATCATCAGAGCTTCCAGAGCTACACAGCAGCTCGAGGACAGCAGCGTGGCTGCCAGGAGC